CAGTGATGGCGAACTTTTTCGGCACTGAGTGCCCAAACTGGAATGCACCAGAAACCCGAAGACCAGCTGGCTGGTGCGGATACCTGCTTTTTTGTCCATTTTCTGGCCGTTTTACATGCCGTTTTCAGGCCAAAAACAGCTTGTTTTGTGGGCGGTTTGCAAGCCATTTTCAAGTGCTCCGGCGCCCGCAAAGACCAACTGGCTGTGTCGGAAACCAGAAAGCAGCTGGTGACGGCATGCGTGCCCATAGAGAGGGCTCTGCGTGCCACCTCTGGCGCACATGACATAGGTTTGCCATCACAGGCCTAGGGAACAAAGCTGCTACAGAATCTGGTAGTCCTGCTAGAAATACTTTGAAACCTCCTCCCGGAGGGGAGCAACAGAAACAGACCGTGAAGTGAGTGTGTGGGGTCTCTAACAATGCTGATTATGTTACCCAGTCCTTACTGATGTTACCTAGTTTAGGTAACGAAACTTTTGCAAGAAAATAACCAAGCTCAGACAGCACTAAGGACCCCTCCCTCACTATTCAAGCCTAACAGCACTGAAATAATTTTTCAGTGACTGGCTGGAGAATTCTTGAAGTTGAAGTCCAGACAGGCTAAAATTGTCAGTAACTGGGGGTCCTTGGACCACTGGTGGCCTGTGAGAAAATTTTGGTGGTCCTCAGAAAAATTATTTGCATTTTTATATTGCACTAAATACTATTTATCTTCTAAAAAAATTCATATTAGTGGTCTGCAGGATTTAAAATTATGAATTTAGTGGTCCCTGAGGTCCAAAAGGCTGGTGACCCCTGGCCTAGAGGGAGAGAGGGAGGTGAGGAAAATGGGTAGATGGATTTCATAGAGGGGCGGATAGACAGATATAGAATAAATAAGAACAAAACCCATGTTAAGTAACAGGTTCACCTCAAACCAATCAGATCTCTACCTGGGGTTTGGCTTTCTCTTTCACGCCCTCGCTCTTCACTGGGGACAGGGTCTGGAAGACAAAATTCCTTGAGTTCCTGGGGGCATTCGGGTTGAGATCAGACATGGCTGCCAATTTCTGCAGGACGGCTCTTGGTTGGTTCAGCAGAGATCCATTCTTCAGCTATCAGTTGGGGGACAAAAAAGTTATCTAAGATATTGTATTCAAGTAACATGACCGCATATCATTTTGACCTTCAGGAGCATAGAGAGTCCTCTTCCTCCCATCTCACAGGCAGGGCAAATAAGGAAGAGCAGTGCTTCAATGAATTTCTCTCTCTCCTAATGTAGGCAAGCCAGAGTGGAAGCATATCAGGAACACACCAGCTTTGCAGCAGTGAAAGAGGGAGCAAGTCCATGGATACATTTAGCCTGGTTTGTGTCTACCACAGGGGTCTCGAAACTTGGCAACTTGCTAGCTGGAGAATTCTGGGAATTGAAGTCCACAAGTCTTAAGAGTTGTCAGGTTTTGGGAGCCCTGATCTACCCTAAAGGTAAAGATTCCCCTCAAACATTGTCCTAGTCGTTCCCGACTCTAGGGGGTGGTGCTCATCTCCGTTTCAATGTTGAAGAGCCAACGCTGTCCGAAGACATCTCAGTGGTCCTGTGGTCGGCATGACTAAATGCCGAAGGCACATGGAATGCTGTTCCCTTCCCACCAAAGTTGGTTCCTATTTTTCTACTTGCATTTTTAACATGCTTTCAAACTGCTAGGTTGGCATAAGCTGGGACAAGTAACGGGACCTCTGTTATGCGGTGCT